TTTGAGGCGAAATACCCAAAAAGAAGTTTGTAAAAAAGTGCAAATATAGTTTAAGCAATATTTAGTGTTTCTGGCGTTGAAGATACTTGTGCTTATTTCATACAACTTATAGGTGAATGGTGGTTCGTAAAGAAGCACCTGAGTGAAGATAGTGGATGGGTGCCCGCAAATATTCTCATGGACGAACCCCAATATATCCAATTCGTCCAAAGGAAATTAAATGAGAAAATTGATAAATTACCAGTACTAGAGAGTAAGTTAGAAATTGAATATGGTTGTCGAACTGAATGCCAAATAATTTTTTTACAGAACCAAAATCATCTGAACAACCTCGAGCGCCAAAGTTCTTAGAAAAGCTAAAACCCATAACAACGCACGATGGCTTTTCTGTAGTTTTCCAGTGTAAGGTCGAAGGATATCCGCGCCCTCAAATAACGTGGTTCCGACAGACCCATATAATAAAAGAATCAATCGATTTCCAGATATATTACACTGAAGAAAACGTTGCTACTTTAGTAATCAGCGAAGTATTCCCAGAAGATGCTGGTACTTTTACGTGTGTTGCTAAGAATTCAGCTGGATTTGCATCGAGCACAGCTGAATTAACTGTTGAAGGTCCTTTATCGTCACATGGCTCTGACAGAACTCACTCGATTTCTCGAAAGAGCCTGTCGAGGACATCATCATTAGCAGATATCCTAGAAGGAATGCCACCAGTATTTGCCAAAAAACCTAAAACGCAATCTGTGCCTGAGGAGACTGACGTGACCATTGACGCTGTCTTGGCGGCTATTCCGGAACCCGATATTAAGTGGTACCGCAATGGTAAAAAGGTAACCACCAAAGAGAATATAACTATTTCCACGACATCGGAGAACTACATCTATACTACAACCATTAAAATTACAAAAATAAAGAAGAAACAGGAAGGTCGTTACAAGATTGTCGCTAAGAACAGTGAAGGACACGCTACAGCAGAATTCACATTGAGAGTACGCACGTCCGAAAAAGAAGCACCGGAAATAGTCGAACCGCTTCAGTCAACTACAATAAGAAAGGGAGAAACTGCTACATTGACAACAACAATAGTAGGCAATCCTGAACCTGCAATTCAATGGTTTAAAAATGATAAACCTCTAGAAGCACTATCCCCTAGGAGAAACGGCGATACTTACACAGTAATTATTAAAGATGCAACAACAAGTGATACAGGAGAATATACAGTTAAAGCCAATAATTCCTTAGGGTCGGCCATAACTAGCGCATTCCTCACCGTACAAGGTAATTTATTTTCTTCTGTAGGTTTCAATGCGATAAAAAATTATGTACTTTCTAGATATGGCGCAGTTGCTTTTTACGCTTACAGTCAGCATCAATGCTGAAACCGTCTGCACTTGCTTGCACAAGCTATCGCTAACAAAGCTATACAACGAAATAAATCATGCAGATTTTTGTTGTTTTATTTTTTGCCCTAAACACTATTTCACGCTTAATTTTTTGCCTGATATTGCATGTGACTAATCAATTGTTTTTGTTTTAGAATTTCCAGATAATGCGGAACCACCTCTGTTCGTCAAACGTTTCGAAGAGCAAAACATTCCCGAGAAAACTCCATTAATCTTAAGAGCTAAAGTTACAGGCAACCCCATTCCAGAAGTCACATGGTTGCTGAACAATCAGCCTCTTGAATCATCTGAAAGAGTCAGAATCCTTTACGACCTAGAAAACATTGAGCTTACTATAAAAGAAACCAATTCCGAGCTCGATTCTGGCATCTATAAGTGCGTAGCTACTAATTCAATGGGCCGAGCTTCTCATGGAGCCCCCGTAAACGTTGAAGTTGATACCGTCAAATTCACCAAAAAATTGCAGAAATCATACAAAAACTTTGAAAGAGAAACGATCGAGCTTGAATGCGAAACATCTCACTCCGTCCGCACCAAATGGTGGTACAACGGTACTGAAATCAGTGGAATGGACCATAGAGTTGTCATTCACGATGGACGAACGCACAAGCTTATTATTAAGAATGTCTCTAAGAATGACGAAGGTAACTATAAGTGCACTGTTAAGAATCAAAAGACTGAAACCATAGTTGAGGTGGATCAACGAAAATTAGAATTCGTGAAGAAACTGCAAGACCTGGAAATTACTGAGAAAGATAATGCCATTTTGGAAGTTGAGATTACTTCTGACACTGCTGATGTCGTTTGGCTGAAGGACGGCGTCCCCATTACAGACATTGATGACAAGTTCGAGACTGAAAAGGACCGAGGTGTCCGCAAATTACTCATACGCTCTACTTCTATTCATGACGAGGGAGAGTATTCCTGCCAACTTGTTGATGAGGAGTGCAAAGCTGATGTCACCGTAATCGAATTGCCACCCGAAATAATTACTCCTTTGCAAGATAAAACGGTCACTAAGGGTGAAAAGGCTGTATTTGAGATTGAACTCTCTAAAGGAGACGCCTTGGCCAAATGGTACAAAGATGGCAAAGAGATTCAGTTCTCTGAACACATCCAACTGGCCATCGATGGCAAAACCCAAAAACTTAAGATCTACAAGAGCGATCGCGATGACCAAGGAACCTACACTTGCAAAGTTGGCAAGCAATCATCAAGTGCTACTTTAACAGTCAATATTCCTTCGTGTGAATGGATCAAGCCATTGCCAGAAGAAACGGTGGTTCCTATTAACACTGATGCCGAGTTTGAAGTCGAACTATCGAAAGAAGATGCAGAAGTAACTTGGTGGAAAAAGGACACTAAAATTGAAAGCAGTTCACGATATACCATTACCAAAAGCAAAACTTATAGAAAACTGGTGGTCCATCAAGTTACGATGGAAGACCAATACGAATACACGTGCACTGTAGAAAAGTACAGCCTGAAAACATCATCAAAGCTCAAAGTTGGAGATAGGCCTAGTCCACCTAGAGGACCTTTGGAGGTATCAGGAATGACTGCTCAGTCCTTCACAATTCAGTGGCAACCGCCAGAGAATGATGGCAATTCAGAAATTTTGGAATATATTATTGAAAGCAAAGACATGAAGTTAAAGAGGGACTTTAAAAAGATCGGAGCCACTAAGGGTTCGATTACCGATTTTGCAGTGAGCGAACTAAAGAAGGATCACGGATACAAATTCAAGATCTACGCCCGCAATGCAGTGGGTATCAGCGATCCCTACTGTCCTGATGAAACCGTGATTGCTGGCTCTAGAATAAGTGAGTATTTTTTCAGTGTATTACATCATTTAAGTTAATTGCTTAACCAGAAGGTGTTCATTTCCATGCTTTAATGCTTAACTTTGACGCTTGTTAGGAATTGAGTATCACTTTGCTAAAACGGACGAGACTATGTATTGCTTGCTTGGCATATTCCCACCTGCTAAAGCTATACACAAAAGTGAGTAGCTTGCAACAAACCCATTCAATTCAGATAAATTTGATGACTTTGTGCCATCTTGTATAGCACCACCATCTCCTCCTCTGAACCTCAAGATCAAGGACCTCACCAGTCGCAGCGCTACTCTTACTTGGGAACCTCCAGAAAACGACGGCGGAAGCGAAATTACTGGATATGTAATTGAAAAGAAGCTAGAGTTTATGCCGAAATGGGAGAAAGTGTACACGTTGGAAGCTTTCACCCTGGAATACACTTTGGAAAATCTAAAGGAAAAAAGCGACTATATTTTCAGAGTATATGCAGAAAATGCTATAGGTCTAAGTGCTCCTGCACAAACAGATGTTGTACAAATGAGATCTTTGGCCAGTAAGTATAGATATATACATAATATATACATATTTTTTGGAAATTTTCAATGGAAATTTTTTTAAATTTATGACCGTGAACTTTTTTAACTACACACTCGTGTCTCAAATTTCTTGGGAAACAGAAGTCAAATTAACACCAATTTTCTCACTATCCCCAGCTGTACCATCACCACCCACTCCTCCACTAGAAATTCGCACCATTGGACCCAACGCTATTGTTGTGGAATGGGGAATACCCGAATCTGATGGTGGCGCTCCATTACTTGGATACAATATTGCCATTAAAGTAATTATACATGAAGATTACACCAATGGAGAAATGATCTATTACTAAAACCCATTAATTCTTAGGATACTAAGAAGACCATGTGGATGGAAATCGGCAAAACTCCGAAGGGTGTACAGAAATTCACTATCAGGGACCTTCAAGAAGACCACGAATATTTGATTCGAATTTTCGCCAGAAATGAAATCGGTTTAAGTGGACCTCTGGAATCAGATGAACCTTTCAAAGTATTACCTTCTGGTGGTAAGTGAAAGCTCGTTTATTAAGCTGCTAGGATTTCGCTTGACAATTTTCGATTTAAAACAATGAGTTTGACCGAATTATTTGCTCATGTACGGTGATTCAAACAAAATTGTCATTTCTTTACGAGATAAATTTAGCAAAACATTATTTTTAATAATATATTATTAATGCATATTTCAGTGCATATTAGCAGTGAAAGGTTCAGTTTTCGTTTCGTTGAACGGTGAAATAGTTGAATTAATAGACTATTCAGATCATAAAAGCAGACTAAACATAAACAACCAATATAAAAATAAATAACAACAAACAATATTCGTATTAAGGTCGAAACAAGTGCCTACAAGCTGCCTGTTAAGCTTGATATTGAGGTAATAAGTGCCTGTGCACGTACCTTTGAAGTGTGAATAACTATGCACATTTCAAAAAGAAATTTGGAAAATATCACGAAGACTTTTGACTAAAGTGTCACACTTGAAACTTATCAATCCTGCTCAATATTCCTCATACCGATAAAACTGTCACGAATTCTGTATTACTCTAGACGCTGATCAAGATGATTTCCGTGAAGTTACCTCCGAAAGAGAGCCAACTTCTAGAAGTTCAGAGACGACCACATCTTGGCTTCGAGAAAATAGCATGGATGCTGATATTAAATCGTATGCCAAAGGCAAATTATTAAGAAAGGATGAGTATTTCTTCAGAATTTGGTGCTACGCCACCAAATTGTTTAAATAAGACTAAAAATGAACTAATAATACGAATGGATGTAGAAAGTAAAATGTTTGAGTGTGTACATCTGAGTGAATTTATTTGTCGTTATAAAATCTAGTTTATAATACAATTCCCGATATTTATACACAATTTTTGTGAGTCATATCTATATATTTTTTCTTGATATTGACTTCTACATGTTTTATCCAATAATTAGCATGCGTTATATATTTAGCATGATTAACACATATATGAGTTGTAAATTGAATATGTCCGACAAAACGGCCGAATGTTAAAATTATGCTTTCATAGGCAAAATGCGAGTTGTGAGCGAACAAAACTTAGTATTTCTTAAAATAGCATAACTTTAACACCAGGCCTAAAATCTTAGAGACACTGTGATAACGATAATGAGAAAAACAGCGAGTTTTGTGCCTCGCTCTAATATGCCAATTTATAGATAATTTTAAGAAAATAACGAATATTTAAACGACTATTATGTAGAAAATGTTTAATTCAGCCAGATACCAGGTTTGAGATATTGTTAGTTTTATTATTTATTTCTCCAGTTCTATTTGTTTATTTTTTATTGTTCATAATAGAAATCGATATGTTTTCTTGAACTTGGCAAGAGCATCAACATCAGAGAGACTAAATATAGGTGCATATTATTAATTAGACTCGAAGTTTTTGCTATGTTCAAGAAAACGCTGTTGCTTTATTATTTTGAGTTATCTTAATAAATTTTTAAATTCAACGATTCTCACGATTTTCATTTAGAAGCAAGGGAAGTGTCTGCTAACATTTGAAGATGTATAAAACTAAGTCCGATCATTTTCTCGTTTATCAAGATGTTAAGTATCTACTCACCTAATATAAATAATCCCTGTACAAACAACTACTTTTGATGGTTCTTGTGGAAGTGTGATTTTAAGCTCCGTTTCACTATTACACTTCGCTACTTTTCAAATAAATAACAAACATATATAACTCAGATGGAAGAGTTTGCACTCTCAACAGCTTCTACCATTAGGGATGATTCGATACAAGTAAATACAAGTAGATATTCTGGGGTACTTGAGTAATTGAATCGTTCTTTCGATACAAATACTTGGTCAAAAGTTTAAACACTGTAGAAAGTCTGTTGAGGAACTTGAGTTCGATATGTCACAGCCATCAACATCAAGCTGTTCGAAATTAGAAAACATTTTCCTAGGAAAAAGTTTTTTTGATGCTAGTACGGATAATAACATACCTCCACAATAGTAGTTTTCGATACAAGGGCGAAAAATGTCGTGATAAATATATAAATAAAAAAAAATCGTAAAAGTAAAACAAATGAACGCTAAAGAAAAGTGCTTCTTTTTGATCATCGCTTCTGTTCGCAAAATGGCACTTTTTGATTCATTCGAATAAAAAGCACTTTAGAAGAAGCATTTTACAAGTTTCGGCCAATAAAGGTAAACAAATTATTTTTAGCACTTTATCTTTATCAAATATAGCAGATTTATCCATTTTGAAGGGAGGATTAAAATACAATAAAATAGTGCACACTCAGCGTTTTTGTCTGCAAATATACAGGGTGTCTCATAAGCTCATGATCAACAGGGTACTGCGATATTCTTTGAATCAAAGGAAGAAAAAATTGATCTTTTTTAAATATCGGGAGAATGGTACGATTTATTTTTAAATTATTTCTGTTTTCTTGCCACTTAACAATGTCAGACATTAACTGCATGAAAATATTTCACAAATTTTCGGCTACATAAAATGTTGCTTTTTTGATCCAAACGCCAAATTGCCATTAAAAAAGCCGCACCAATTCGTATAGTGGCTCATTGATAAATATAGTTTCTAAGGGTATTATTCACCATTTTGTGATGTTTTTAAAATACATTTAATGTTTGATCTTGTTTGCGACAACCTTTTGGTATCAAATTATTTAAAACGTTCAGAAGCAGGTCCAAAATTGTTCTTTTTTGTTTCTCCGATTTCATAACATTATTGATTTTATTGATGGAATGAATTATGAATTTTTATTGGCCAATAAGTGGGAATTACAATAACTTGAAGGTGAGACGTATGATAGTTGAAAAGCTGTTCTGATTATAAAATTGCCTCTTTGTGCTTTAAATTTGACATCGACATGTTTGCCAAATACGCAAAAAGTTAGTTTGATACTATTAAACAATTTCAAATATAAATGAACTGCAGAAACACTATTGCAGTCGGTGACAACAATAAATGTTTCAATCAATTTATTCAATCCAGAATTTAAAAAATCGGTGAAAAAGGAATTATTTACCTATTGATTCTGAGTCGCGCTTTTAATCGACAGAAACGAAATCTGTTTTTCATGTGTTGTCTTTACATAGCGCAAACTTATCAAAATGTTTTTAAAAATCCAAAATTTTCCCGATTATGGTCCAATTTTTGAAAGTAGACAAGGGAAGTCCATGAAACTTAACAAAGTATAAAAATTCAGTTAAAACTGTATATTGCATTTATTTGATCAATTTGAGAATTAGTACGAGTCTCGAGCCCAATCTCTGCCGCATAAAACTTATTATCATACGATTGTACACAAATGACGCTAACTATGAAGTGCACCAAAAGTCCTTGTTTAAAATGGGTAAATGCGTTTTAATGAAATTTATCTGCGTTTTTGCGGCTCCATTTGCAAAAATTCTAAGTTAACCAGATTTATAATTAAAACCATTGATAAGGCTTATCTTAAAAACAACAACAGTTAACTTACACGTTATCAACTTATTATTTCCTTGATTTATAACACAGGTTCTAAAGAAATCTAATATTTATTGAAAATGTATGCACGGGTTATTGAGCTCAACTTTTTCTTAACTTCTCAAGAAAAAAACAGACTTATCTGTTTAGATTATACAGTGTTCTATTCCAGCACCCGGTATAATTGGAAATAATGAACTTTTGCATTGCACTTAACTGACCGACATAAATGATTTCCTATTGGTTCCGGAATGTTAAGCAAGATAAAATTAGTGTTTACAATAATTAAAACTTCCTTTTAGTATTAATTAGAAACTGCTGTGTTGAAGTGCCATTTATAATTTTCGCAACTGCACAACTAAACGGCTGTTTTTCATTTACTGCAAATGATTAGACGCTAAGTTTTATGCATTTATGCCGTGATAGATTTACTATAAATAGACTGTGGCAATTATAACGGGGATTGAACAGTAAGGAAAAATGAATAGGAATAAATTGCTCTATATCGCACTTTCTTACGGAAACGAAAAACGCTCAAATATTTAACTGGTATTAATATGCGAAGACACGCAATTTTTATACCGTAAAATATATGCATTTACCTCAATTGTCAGCTTCATAAATCCTGCAACAGAACTTAAGCAAACAAAACTCGAAGCAGTCCAAGTACGACGACTGTTGCTGCTATTGGACCATTAAGGCAATTGAGATAGATGATGTCTTAATGATAGTGTATGTGAACGGTGATTAATTTTTTAATTAATTCAATAAACAATTCCTGTGCTGGTACCACGATGACAGACCTTGCTAGACCATTGTATACTGACTTACTTTATTTTACTGATCTGTATCCTGCTAGGAGATTATTATAAAATATAAGTATTGCTATTTGCTTTATTACAATAAAAGTTTCTATTTTCGAGTAAATGTTTATCTGGGTGGATAACTTTAAAGATCAATATTTTTGTTTTCCAATGGGTTTTTGGATTATTTAGGGACGGTAGGAAAGTAGCTTCAGATCTAGTTTTATTTTTTTGGCATTTTTTGGATCAGGCTTGCCTTCAATGTCATTGTCTCCGCGTTTGTTCTCAAGTGCTTTTCAATTATTCTTCAATTGCAAAACGTTCCAAAGAAAATTAGTTTGGTACTTCTATGCTTTTTAGGATACAGGATTAATTGACTTAAAACATTGAAATCTTATGTTGCCATTTCGTACATTTGCAAATACATAGCTGCTTTTATCCGAACTTAAGAATTTAGAGCTTGTGTAATCAAATAACTGTGTTTCAATATACCTAATATACCTACCTTAATTATAAAAATGACTAATATTCAAACTCATTCGTATGATTGAGGGCCAAATTTGTCATCATCTTTCACTTAAAGTTCAACGTCGACACCAAGATCAAAAGCCTCAGAAACGTTAAAATTTACCACATAATCCATAGAAGAACTGACAAACTGTCTATTAAAACAAACTTTTCTTAGTGAGTTCTTGTACTCCACAGGGGGTTTGTAAGATTCTAACAAATGATGCTTGAAATCCCGAGTCATCCGTGAAGTAATCATGCGAAGTATGGCACTTATATTTAAGATAAAAAATGTGAAAAATAATAAACAAAATTATTTCCAATTTTGCGTCATTTCGATCAATAGTTAAAATAATTCAGTTGATTGACTGCACAATTTCAACAGTTCTAACTCAAAATAACTCGTTAAGGTATCTTCTTACTACGCAGTCTTGTCCCTATATAAAAAAAATAATTTTGCATTTAATGCAAAACTAGTTAAATGAAATATATTTTTAATTGTAGCACGTTCTCGATGTAAAGTTTCGAAATAGAAAAATTATTTTCAGTTGCAGGAAATTAACAGTGCGTTTGAATGTAACGTTTTAAGCAAGCATAGGAAAATTGCAAATTAGCAAAGCCCAACGTTTAAAAAAATGCAATAATCCAACTTTACTAAGTAGAAGATTAACTATTTAAATAAAAATAACGATTTTAATTTATCCGAATTGTCGAAGCGCTTACTATTTAGTGGGAAATGTTTTTACCAGGACCGCATGGTATGGTGATATCTGAAAGACAAGGTGGAATCAGCCCCAAGCATGCAGACCTTACAATTCAACGCTGATCATCCAAATAGTGCATACAAAGTTAAGCTTGGTTTACTTAAACCTGACTAAAATGGTGCCCGCATTTAAATATGACCGACTTTTACTAACAAATGCAAATGGGAAACCAGATTTTCTTTTACATGCGACAATTTCCTTATCGGTAAGAGAAAATAATATGATTTTTGCACGGTCGCAAATTGTTGGAATTATAACTTGACACATCAATTCATTAATAACCATTGAAGATTTATTTGGCGTTATCATCTGGCATACGCATACTACAACCATCAACAAAGCCATTTTTAATAAAATTATAGTCGTTAACATCATTTAAGAAGTTGTTTTCGTTACACTTTCAAACGCATATTATAAATGTATACGAGTCTTAACGTAGGTGGGATAAGTAATTAAGTACTTAGCTGTGATTAGATGCAAAAATTTATTATGGAATCATTCATAATGTCTAAATAATGTATTACGTTTATTACTGCTGTAAAATAAAATTTACAAAAAGGCAGCTAAACCTAATTAAATTAAAAATAGTTCAGATAATACTCATTGGATAGCTATGCTCTAGATATGGTGAAAACCGATCAGTCAGTTTTATTGCATCAGTTATTATTTTACATAAAAAATGGCTATTTGTTTAATCGCTACATGATAATTACGGACTGGAAAGGAAATTAAATAAAATCGCAATAATGCTAACTACGTAAATATTTGCCTTGTTTACAGTGTTATAACCTGAACAAGTTTGCATATTTACAACTAAACACTAAACTGTTATGGTTGATCACAGAGATCATAATGATTCTCAACTAAAACTACACTCCTTATAGTAATTCTACATTATTTCTACTTGTAACTTTTACGTTGTGACTTTCGGTTCTCGAAAGAAAGCGGCCCAATAGAAAAAGTAACTACAGTATGAAGAGCTAATTTTACTAAAATCTACTGAATATGGCAAACGTATAAGTACTTGTACTTAGGTTTCGTTTTTGTCATTATAAACGTTTGCTTTTCCGAGCATCCTACAATTAATACCGCTCACGAATGGTAAAAAAATATAATAAATAGTGATGGGTGAAATGTTGGGCCAATTTATGAATATTACCCAAGTCTTAAACAGGACAAATCACATGAAAGTATCTGTTTCCTGTGGTGCGACTTGAAACTTTTCAGAAAATACTTAATACAGATAATGATCATCCTTAACTCTTCCAAATGGTTTTCAAAAGCTTATGTCGCGATTTACAATATGAATCATTTACATTTGTAATGTATGCCGTTGCACTTTTGCCTCTTCTTCAAAGGCGACTTCTGGGTAATCTCCCATTACGAATTCAATACATCATGCCAGGATGCAGGCCGTTTCCTCTTTGAAAGTACACATTGGGATTGCTGCTCAGGGTTGGCTCCAGTGTCGTGTACAAATTACCATCGTCAGGTCTCAAGTAGAGACCACCTGAAAAAGGAAATATATTTTATCAGTCAAAATGAGGAAGGAGCGCGGAAACAATTGCAAAATGATGCCAGCAAATGAGCAATTATACTTGCTGTATTTAATTTTGTATTTATTACTTGCTTATTTTGCATTTTGGAGGGTTGTGGTGAAATTATTCAATCGGTTACTGCAATTGAAGATAGATTTCTTTTAATACTAAATTAGCAATTTCAGACTTTCAACAGCATTGGCAATTTGCTAATGTCATTTATTGCATGTTATAAATACTTATTTAAGCTGCAATGTTTTGATGGAATTTAATAAATATTGCTTTCACTTAGAAATATTTATTGCATCGGGTCTTCAATTTGGCTTCATTTTCCAATTAATGCAAACAGCAATTGGCTGGTGATTAGAAAATTACTTTACTTCAGCAATTCTGCTAATGGCAGTATATATAAAAAAACAATTCATTGAGGAATCCGAAAACATGTGAATAAATATGGATATTTAAACGCCAATAGTTCTGTTCGAAGCTAAAGCTGTTTGGTGTGTCGTTCGTCCCGTCCATAATTTTTCGCGATTTTCACATTGAGAAAGTATTATTTGAAAATAGGTCAGAAATCTCCAACCACATTAACATTCCATGAATTAGAAAAATAAAAACCTTATTTTCCTAAGTTAATCTTTAATGATTCCTGGCGCGGGTGGTCAGTAAAAATCGCCGGAAAGTAGCAAAGTAACATTATATTTCTCCTAATCATCGAAAGACATGTGCTTGAAGGAGATATCCAAGTTTGCTGTCTGAATATTTAAAAATATTCGTCATAATCAAAAAGTCTATATGCGAGTAATTACTTGAATTCAATAGTTCCATTGTCCATTTAACTACCAATTATTTTCAAGAAAACAAAATTTAGCAAATCTGTTTTTGAAATTCCTGTCGATTATATTGTCAGTTATAACTATCGGTTCTGGAAAGTTCCCTCTTTTGTGTGTACAACCAATATTGCGGTATAGCGATATATTTGGCATTGTGTTAACCAAGACAATCCTTGGGTGGTTCAGGCTGGATCGCATAATCTTCACTTCAATACAACATAATCCAGTGCAATATACTACAATAATTACACGTGTAGGTTTCGTATAATCGGTTAGCTGTTAAAAGACATCATTATATAAACGGTGTTAAGAGTGTTGTGTTGGTGTTAAAGTGCTCACGATACATTTAGGACCTTTTATGGGGGTACAGAAATTGTGCAATCTGGTCTGACATACAGTTAAGGTTAACGTTTATTTAATACACCAACCGAGTTGGCCAGGATGCGCAATAAGTCATTCGAATTTATCGTTCGGGGCGAATTGTTCGAATGAAATAAATTAATTTTGTCATGTACTTGCTTATTCAGCGCTTTAGGTGGATAACTGCTTTCAAATATGAATTGTAAAACATGATACTTAATTGGGTATTTTGGATCGAAAAGAAAGACGAAGGAAAAGGAGTGCATGCAATGCTTGCGTATTCAACCAAACGTTTCAAATTACATTTATTGTGGGAATTATTTATGTGAGAAACTCTCGAACTTATGAAGATTTCAAGCATTTATGTAGAACTTCATAACTTTTGAACTGGTTCACAAAATTTAAATCATAAATAAAAAATTGCGTAAAGTTTCTTGTGCAAATAAAAAAACTTTGTAAACTTCAATCTTCATTAGCTGGTAAATTGCGCTTTTAAGACCCGCCTATGGAATAACACGCTTTTGAGTTTGGGGGCCAAGCCGACAAACGAATGCCGGCTCAATTATAGTGTCTTTAGATTTTGACTAACTGTTCAAAATGAAATCTTTCGCCTCGTATATACTTTTTGAGATTCGCATTACACCAAAAAAGTTTTTGAAAGCGAGCCTTATTTATGTAAGAATAAATCAAGCTCGCAAATCAAAATTGTTAGCTTGGTGCTTTGGATGTTTCAATAATCACATATCTTCAATCTGGCTTGACTCTTCAGAACTGCTATTCTCAATGTCAAGTTGAGAAGCCTTTCTTCTGTCGAGACAAACCTAAACAAGCAAGAAAGGTGTATGTTGTAACGGCAATTTTCATACTATATGGAAAATAAAGCTGGACACCGATATTTTGATCAATTTATCTTATTTATCTAGGAAAAAAATATATAAAAATCCCGAAGGTAAAAACTCACATGATTCAATATGTGTGTACCTACTTACTTTAAACCTGAAACGCTGGCAATATTTTCGTTAAAACGTTAATTAATGTTTCTTTATACATTTCTAAACTCAGTTAACAGACCCGAAGCAATCGGTAAATCGCCAGTCTGCAGAATTCACAAAAACCATAAATTAATCTGCTATTCATTATCCGTAATTTATTTTCAACCAACTGGCATTCAAAGCGATAATGGAAAATCAATCTAGTGTCGCTATTTCTAAAGCTCTGTTACTGCCAAATCGAAGTTATTAGTTTTCTCTTATTATCGGAAATCCGTTAGTCAATGTTTTTCATTTCTTATGAATTTATGTAACTGCATTATGGCAACGGTATTTTTAAAAGTAATAGTCATCTAGGCTTAAAACCGGTCGATATTTTAATAACCTGAAGCAAAAAAATAAAGTTTTTGCTCATTTGGTTATTGTTTTTTTAAGGAAGATTTCACAAAATGAGTCAACCTGTTGCAAACTGACTCCTTCAAGTTCACGAAACGAAACCTGCTTTAAGCAACTGGGCATATTCAATTTAATGCCGTTTTTTTTCTTTGAAATTTGTAAAATCAATCCGCAGCAACTAATTCAGATTTGAATGGAAAATTGATTTGATGCGAAACAAATAATCTGCTTAATTTACTTGCAGGCAAAGTTTCAAGCCCTGCTTAGAAGTATTGAGATTTCGTAACTTACTTTTGTTGGTCACTGGATTTTAATAGTTTTCTTTGATAATAAAAAACAGTAAATCAAATACTCAAATGAAAGGATAGATTGCATTTAACTAATATTGAGACGAAAAACTCAGGTCCTAATTCTCTATCTAGCTCTGAAATTTATACATCACGCTGTTTTTGTACCAGTAACATTGTTTACCAATTTAACAATGTTTATCCAATGAATAACGAATAACTAATGTACCCTACTGACTTAAACTATCATTTTAATCTGCTGAAACTCACAAAAAAATTTGTAGGAAGTCATGAAAATCATTAGCAATTATAATAAACTATGGTTTATTAACTGTTATATTAAAATTCCATAAAATCGTGCAGCATTATTTAGGAAAGACTGGATTCCTGCTATAATTAACGGTATTATGGGCGGAGCTGGTATAGGTATTTGGGTTTATGCAGAAGCATAGGAAGCATAAAGCATAAAAAAATTACAGAAGAAATATTTTTAGAAATTTCCTTAGATTTAAATCACCAATTAAATGCGATTTCGTGCAGAATGCAGAATGTTGATAATTGCATAGTATAGCACATGATAACGCTTGAAGCGAAATTACTAATTAAGATAATGAATAAAATTTACATACATTTTCAACATATTAGTATATCACGTTACCGAATGGCGAACAGATGATAGGATATATGTGTATAAATTATTTTGCTAGTTCAACACGGTCTTGATTTGGTTGGGCAATAAAATATACTCACGTTTCTTTGAGATTAATTGAATAGACCGAACTGTTTGATAGGAAGTTTAATTGCAATTTTCCGTAAAGGAAAATAACATCGTAGAAAAGCCAGGCTGGTGAATGATCAAATTTACTTGACGTTTTGATCGAATTATTATATTATCGAATTATAATGAATGCCTTTTATGTATGAAAAAGTTCATCGCTCTTGAAAACTGTATCAGCCTTCGAAAAAAGAGTGCATACAAGCACTTATTTAATATGAATATTCAAGATAATGCTATTCACATTTATAGGATACTGCTTTTTATCAATTTCAAGATAAATTTTGGGTGCATTATTTTTTTCTTAGTTCCAGTTGCAACCATTATTAATTAGAAAATTTTCCTCTACCTAGTGAAACCATGTTTGCCGACTTGTAGCTAATCTAAACATAATAACTTCTGCGATTGACGCAGTCCTCATCTTCGACAGGTAATAGTCTTTGAGACGTTCTTGCTATTAATAGTGAAGATAAATACCTAAGTACCAATAACATTTCAGGCATTAGCGTTAACCAATAAACGTTTAATAAAGGAATTTGATAATTAGTAGGATGCTCGATGGATATTAGTATAATGGGACATTAAAACTTAGGTAATAATATCTCTATTAGTAATTAAGTCGTTTTGGTATATGCTACGAATGTTAACAGTAGCATCAATCGGGACGGTTCTTTTATGCATTTATAGAGAATAATATGTTATTTTTATACTGTTTGATTTTGTTATGGCTTTCGCAGCTGTCTACAACTAAGCTTGTGGTTATGATGTATTCTTGGAACTTTTCCTAATAACTTTTCCTGCTGCAATGATTCACTTGATTTATCAGCTGGTTTGTTTCTACTTTTTTACTAATTCCAGGATTATTTTCAATCCTGCGTTTCCCATTCAGTTCAATGAGTTCAATCCTCAATTTTCTTTTGCCTTGAGTAATTCCGCTTCGAATTGCTATACATTTGAGGATCTCGGAAGGTAATTTACTTGTTATGTATCGATTTTTCACTATTAAATTTGAACCTATAAAATTGATCCTAAAACTAATATCAATACAACCATATAATAAATCAAAAGAGATAGACTTTCGAGGCCATTCCTTCAAACGAATGGGATTTTCGGGTTTTTAGGCCGTCGTTGGGTAGAATTGCTTTTTAAAAGAGGAAATGGAGGAATTTCTTTTTAAAAGGGGAACGGCCTAAAAACCCGAAAGACCCATTAGTTTCATATAATAAATATTAACAACTTTACTCAAATAGATGCTATAAGTTGAAAAAAACTATTCAATTCTAAAAATGAGATCGTGGTTACCGCACTTGACACAAATTGCCAATAAAGCTGAAGAAAATTGAGTCGAATAGTCAATGATTGAAATTAAACATTTTTTCAAAGGATCAAGCGTGACCCAACTGATCCTTTCTGATGGAAACATCAAATTTTTCCCAATTCTTTTATTGTTCTTATTTGAACACTGACTGGAAAGCAAAAGCGGCCACGTGCTTAATGCCTGTAACGTGTTATTTTTTGAAATTTGAAATTTTCTTTGAAATTATTAGTAGAAAAACAGTGCATCGAAAGGCAAACATCTTATTACCCAATTAACCGCCCATACATCCAAGTGCATTTTTTTCGATTGTGAATCCAAGAGATTTACGAGCGAACTTTGCAATTGCCTTCGAAAAAAACAACAACGACAATCTGAGTTATTACTAGTCGTGATTCCCTCTTCTTTTCTTCAACTCAAGGTATCAATCTTCTCTTGAATACATATACATATTTGTTCTTCGGCCGTTTCGAATGCAGTAATTACACACTGTCCGACTAAATGCGTATCCACAACGCATTAATTTACCGGTAGCAGTCTTCAATGTTTTATTTAAACTTATTCTTGATGTTTATGGATCTATATTTAAGTTAACGTATAGTTAAATGGAAATTTAACTACGTGTTTTGTTTTATGCGACGAGCTGTGGATTTAATTCAACGTATTATCTGATAATAAAATAGTTTATTTGATGCGTATTAACCGAGATGATATTGAGACCATATAAAACGACTAGTTTAATGCTAATTTGAAGGAGTTCGCTGCTGGACATATTTTTTATACTGATTTTATTATTCCAAGTCAAGCATCATCTCAATTATCGTGCATTCAAGAATCCTTAAAAGCTTTGAACTCTCCGTTTTCATCTTTTGGTGACTTTTTCTTTTGAAAAATTTACTGTGAATTAATGACAGTAAATGGAAAATGTTCAAAGATTTAATAATTGTTTTATGACAATTTATCCAACAAGGTCATCGACGATATATTAGCTAAAACACCTAATTTTCTAAGTAAAAAAAGTAATTGTTTGATATCGGTTTTATAATCTTAACCGTGTGCTTGCGTTAAGTTGAAGCGCAAGTATCTACTGTAACTCGAAACCCAAAACACATTCACATAGAAAAAGTAAATTTGAACACTTCCTATATCCAACTTCCTTATGCAATTATTTATGTGAACGCAGATTTTTCCCACCAGACGAAGATTAATAAACATCCACCTCCTCCTAATGTAAAAATTCCATATCTAAAGAGCTTTTAAAGTCGTTGCCCATTACAAAAAGGCAACAAATTCCACCCCCCAACTGTACATAATTAGTATTGGTTAGTTCAGACTGTCTGCGGCCTTAGACAAAATGCAAAAAGCGAACAAAAAGACGAGGCCACTAAACATTTTAATAAGTTATTTGACGCTTTTGTGGGGATTCTGACGGCACATCTAAAGAACAATCCAGTGATGGATGCGGAGATAAGTTGAGAGGTAAATTAATAAAGTTATGCATAGAAGTGAAGCCTTTGGCGTATTTCATTTAATTATGGCGTTTCGTATTTAACAGCAAGGACGGAGGCTCAGAACGCTATTATGGTGCTAATTGATTTGTTGGTGGTTTTTAAATATATTTTTCACTATTTCCCAGTTTTAAGCATAGAAAAATTATGTTTATTATCAATTTTATTAATATTAATATTATCATGTTGTTTAGTCAGGTGAAGTAGAGCTCAACAGAAAAAGTCGCGACATAAACGTTTTATCGTTTATAATGTATATTTTAACAGGCGAAAAAACGTTGTAAGATGATTCAGAAGCGGAAGGAAGAAACGATTTCGTACTTCTCGATTGTCTGCGTTTCAATTAAACAAAAAGAAATTTAAACCATTTTAAATGAGTTGATTGAATTCGACGAAGAAATTTGGATAACTAGGCTAGAATTGGTGTGGGTGACTGAGCAAATTTACTTTTAAATGCCTTAGACGTTATTTTTATGCGCTGGTAAATAAGTGGGGTACGCTAAATACTACCTTGTGAGTTAATAATAGAATTTTTAAGAAAAGTGTATTTTTGAAACCATTTTGTTCCTCGATCCTCTACTCTTTTAATGTGGCAACTAATGTATGCTGGAAGTACATTTTTTGAACAGCTGGTGTAGAACAGGGTTAGGTATAAACCCTTTATTAGGGTTTTTTTTTAGAAAAATCAGTACCTTCCACACAAAATTGTGATGTATTTTATAAACAGACAAAAACGTATTTCAGACGCAACAGAATAAACATTGAAACAAAAATTAGTTATAATTTGAACCGTCTAATTACTGGAACAAAGCCTCAACCTTGTGTTAAGTAAGCATTTTATTGTGCATGAACATATACATACATAAAACAAGTTGCTCCTTACAAATTGAAAAGGTCAATTGTTGACATGGTGAAATTAGCGCTAATGTTCATTAAATATGTCTTAAAACCAATTAACAGTCAAAACTGCGGAAATAATACATGCTTTTTCTTAACAATTAGCCACATTTTTTTTTGTTTTATTCATTATTTATTTATAAACTGAAGGTGGCTGACTATTCAAGCTACTGCGCTCGGCTCAAGAAATATTTGAATTACCAGTAGACATTTTTCATTGTTAAAGAAAATTTGTCTAGGGAAACAGGTAATAATTGCAAAAAAATTGCTTTGAATACTAATTAAAGGGTAGACAAGTATCAATGCTTCCGCAGCTTCGTTTTGAATATTAATTGTTCAGCTGGTTACAGCTCGACTGCATATTAAAAGTGGTGGTTATATGAATCTCAATACCAAACTGCAAAGTTTTACAGTTACTACTAAATTATGCGAGTTTATGTTTCAAGTGCGTTAACCAAAAATGAACTTAATCAAGTCGAGTTTGAAGATACACCAATGGATTTGCAAAAGTAGATTTGACCTGCAACATACATACATAGGCAGACATGATGCAAATAAAATCATATTTCTAATTTGTTTTGTAATGTTTGAGTGTGGCATGCATCTAGTAGACAACAGACAAATTTCCAATGACTAATATTCTAATTGCACTCCATTTTCAAGGTTTAATCGACTAACAGATTTTTCCTACTTCGAAGCGCAGGTAAAAATCAGTTTTAGATGAACTTGAACCGTTTCTTAGACGAAAATGATTGTTGTTGTGTGATGTTTATAGTAGAACTTTATTTCTGCAATCGACACAGAAATCTCAGAGCAGCAAAACAAACGACAAAAACTTATCTAAAGATTAGAAACGAAATGAAAAGCAAAACTATTAGAATACAGATCCAATATCATAACTGGTGATAATGATAACGAACGAAAACTGAAAAACACATGCTAAACATTGGGATTATTGATCAGCAAATCATGCAGCAACTTCTACAGGAATCAGTACTGTACACACCTGGTAAGTACCGTGTGGAGTAGTACCCGGGTGGATACTGGAAAAGGCGAGTGTAACTTGGAGGTGCCGGACACACAGCCAAATCTGAAAAAGTCGAATATATACAGGGTGATGTGCATGAATGTATATTTACAGTGAAACCAAATCTACTACAATGAGGTACAGAACACCAAATGAAACTTGTTAATCAAGCGGCTATGGCTGCTTACTTACTACTTAACAGCTTCATTCGCTACTAAACACTTAATGAGATCCAAGTAATTAAAATGATACAATGAAGCCAAATACTGGGGTTGCATACGTTCACATTTTTAAATGAGCAATAAAGCAAATTACTCTTGAAAATAATTTTACTAAAGCGTCTTTGTGTGTTTTAACATATAATATACCTAGACACTCAGTTTCAAAGGGTTAAGTGAATAATCATTAGAATTTGCATAATATGGCTGCCACATTTCGATCTTTCGAATCGATTAATGTCTAGACACTTCTGTATTGAAGCAGCCATGTAAAATGAAGCAGACAATACACGTTTACCAATTACAGACTGTCTCCAATTGATGTTAAATAAAGAAAATCTAATGAGCGATTGCATTAATATACATATAATGGCAATTATCTGTTTTAGGCTAACTCTATAAATGCACCTAGATTTCCTACACATTAAGACGTTAGCCATAAATATACGGAGTTTCAGATACTCTACACTGCCAAGACCAATAAAAACCTCTTCGATCGATTAAACACACCTGGTGATGAAAGCCAAGAACTGTCAACTTGATTTATTACATTTGGAATGCCTATAAAACGAGTACGAGGAAATATCTTTAATTCTGATCATGTCAGGCCAGAAAGCTTCTTAATTAACAGCAACTAAGAAAATCAACTGGTTAAAAAATGGCGCGAAGAAAAATCCCGTTCAATTCCGATCTCGTCTCGGATAAATTGACTATGAAAATATTTAACTGTACGTAATTTTTATACTGTATGCTGGTTGATTATTTTATACCGTTTTCCGATGACCTAAGGAGTTTTAGTCATAACGAGACACTGAGATGTTGGTCAAAATATGGAAAGCATGTTGATAATTACAATTGGGTATTCAAAATCTGATTAGATATTTAATGAAAAAATTTAAAAGAAACCAACCATTAACCGATGAGTTTCCTTACAGAGAAAAGAAGCACACCTCAATCCAGTTTATTTTATTAATTAGCAATTTACTTGCAAATTTTATAATAGCCCCAATAGGCACACTTTTGCATTAAAAAAAATTAATATGCACGGCTCGTTAAGAGCACGTTCACCATAATTACATACATCAGTCTAAAATATCATTACTTCAATCATTGTTCAAGTCGTAATTTCGTGGCGGCAACAGCCAGTAATCAGGCAGAAAAATGATTTCTCTTGTCGGTTTCGGACGAAATTGACTCACTTTCTTCGAAAAAAAGTTGCACGTCAATTATAATAATGTAGCCACTTGGACTAGATATTGATCAACAATAATTGTCATTAATGGAAAGTGATTTAAGTACAGCGACTAGTGATTTTCTTAGTGAAATCACTCAAGTGCATAATTATTTCCATGAATTTCATTTATTATGTTAATTTACTACGATGTTTTTCAGTTAGTTCATCGTTTTCGATCTGTTGCATTCCGTTTAGTGTTTCAGTTGATTTTTGTTCTCGTATTCAACTAGCCCATGTTTTATGAAAGCGTGGCGCTCCAGAAAAATGCAGAGCTTTCACAATACTCCTAATTTGGTATTAAAGCACAATGAAAAAGAAACCAGCTTATTTTGCTAAAGTCAAAGATGAAAAAAAATTCCGAAAAGAACCTCAATGGCATTGATTCATCACATTTTTGGTGTTACAAAAGGATGAAGGCCCTTTTCAGCATTATTTTCCATCTAATTGATTATTTTGAGTCAGAAGGAAAGTAGAATCGTCATTATTCAACTAAAATTCAATTAAATTCTATCTTCAGAAACAGCAGCTCAATTTCGATAAAAGTGTATCTTTCAAATGAATCCCGACTAGGATTTCCTTTTAGAAAGCTCTCTATATTTTCTAGTTGTCTCTCGTTCTATCTCTGCAATAACTTTTCTTCCACTGTCTAAGCAATAAAGGCTACACTTCAATAGACGTCTTCAACATTGTAAAATGTTAATTAGGTAAAGGCACAATTAAGATGCAAATATATAAACACTCAATTAAGATAATTAACTTCGCACCAAGCAAATTAAGTCTAAGAATCCGTGTAGTACTAGTGGTAGTGTAGGTACATGGCATTTTTTGTGCTATCAGTCTTAACAAGGAACACATTTAATTTAACTGAAAGCCTGAAACCACGCATCTGGCCTGAACCAGGAAATTAAGTTAATAATGGCCTATATTAAAGTCAAGGACTAAACATAATGATAAATCAGAGATGAGCAAAAAGTTTCAGCAGAAACGCTTCCGTGGAAAAAACCATAAACCCTGCCATTATGTAACGTCTCATGACACGTGAAATATCTGGGATAAGAAAAACTTATTTGGAATTAAATTCTGCCGGAATATGTGTAATAGGTTTACTAATAGAATGTTATGAGTTTGCCAAATGCTTGTCAGACTATCTGATGTGTGTATTAATTCTACTTGGATTTTCCTCTATCCTTCTGAACTATAATATAGTGTGTGTAGGTGCAAAAACTGATCATTGCTTAGGAAACTTGTCACACGCGCTCCAATTTGATACGGTACGTCCAAGACAATTATCTAGGGTTCAACAACACATAAACTGATTATCTTTCCGTTTCGAAAAGGGCATGAAATTATTTCTATTACGATAATTGACTGGCATTCGATGTCTTGTTATGCAAATGCGACTTTACAAGCAGCTATGAATAACATTCATTCTTTCATTGTCTTGTAACTGAAACAAGGATTAATTATCGAAGTCCATTTTTTTTCATATGATTTATGCAATGATCTCAATTACGAGTCATTTGTCAGTCATACGTTCGTAGAATAAAGTACAACTCGTTTGCATAGTATCAGTAGGAGAACAATTAACTTCTTAGGTAACATATAGTGGGCAGTCAAACAAGGCAGTCAGTGATGTAAATTTTAAGAAAAACCAGCTACAGTTAGGAAACGAGCACTTTCTTCCTATAAAATCACGCTTGATCGTCTAAGTTTGTTTTAATGCTTTAGCATTAACGTTAGAATCGATCAACTCTCGTATATCGATCAGGAATGAGAAAGGTGAAGTCGTATCCATGGCGATAGATATGGGGCTCTCACTTCTGCTCGTAACGACGAGTATAGACAAATGCACTCGTCCATGTTCGAATTGTACAGCTATATTACGAGGGGCTATTTTTATGAAGTACATAAAATAATTTAAGGTATTTTGCACTCATGCGACATAGTTTACCCCAAAACATTCAGTAAATAATAAATGTGGACAGATAAAGTGCTACAATAGCTCTTACTAAAAAGTAATATGTTTTTTAGATAAAACGTAAAAGATTCTTAGAAAATTGATTCTTGTCATGAAAATGTCTCTGTCCAATTAAAAACTATAAGAACCTAATTCAATTTTTTTAATGGTTAGTCTGTCGTCAGACTGATCAGACAGCTTTTTTGCTTTGCAGCTTTAAATATTTACATTCTTGAAATATCATACATGTAATATCTTTGGTTAAAGTAGTAACACAAAAATAGATTAAATCCAATATACATTATACAAAGGTGAAATCCATATTCAAAACTAAACTCGGCTTCTAAATGATATTCGAATGTTCTAAAAATGCACAATTAACTACATGCTTACTACACTTTTAAATGTCTAACGATTAGCATACAATAGACAATACATCAATTTTATTATTAAAATTAAACAAAACAAAAATAATTTCGTATCTTGGCCACACCTGTGAATGCATAAGTAATGTCACAGTCTGATAGGACAATAGCAAGATGGATTGCTTTTATCGGACTTGTTCGTAGCATTGAAAAATGCATCTGGGAACAATAAATATACGTCAATTAGTTTTTCAATTCGAAATGTTTTGTAGTCATCAAAGTTGGTTATGTGGAAAATAGATTGATGCATGCGCGACTAAACATTGACATAGAACGTTTGTTTCTAAAATTGTTATTTATAGTACACAAGCAAAAAATTGTGAAAAAAACAACTGCATATTAAAGTCGAACTAATGGTGCTTTAACCAAATAAATTGTACAATATTTTTGAATAAGCCTGGTCACAGAACTGTAAAAAATAAATAAGCTCCAGTAATCGGTAAAGTTTACTTGTTAAATAATCGTCCTTCTTTTTTACTAATAAACAATCAAAAATTGTGGTATTTTCGTTAGTTACGTCTAGAAGCAGAACAACGCATTAACTTTTTGCTCTAAATACGTAATTATTTCAAATAGGTCGCTGTAAAAAACCAATAAAACTGTGTAATGTGGCATGACCCGCAAAAAAGAATAATGCGATAATTTTCGAGTTAATTTTACATGACATTGATTATTTTGTTTTAGATCACTAGGTCAGGAATTGTCTGCACATGGTGTTATTTGCTGAAATTGGGTATTAGAAAAACAGTAGCCTTAGCAGGTAGCTTTGAAATATTTTTATGTCAGTTAAATTGACCAATGTTCAATGTACGCTAAAAAATTTGATTTACAAGCTAATAATAATAAATCTACTTTTCACAATAACGCAATATAATATTTTTAAACTAAATCAAATCAAGCAAGTAATTGAACAGAGAAACTTCCATAAACTTAATCTGATTTTCACACTAAATCATTAACATTCTGTTTAATAAATTCTGATCTAAGTGTGTCATTGTCGGCAAATGCGACTATTTAACCAAATAAGTTTCCTGTACTACTCGATAATTACATGGTAATTTAACTTAACGAAAATCAATGTCAAGTTGAGCGTGTTTTAATTGAAAGTGATTATTGATATTTCGCGCACGATAATTGATTAGTTATGGTTTCTATTCTACAATCAGCATTTACTTTCACTTGGTTTTGCTTCAGGTATCGATGCGAATGAGCGACACTAGAATAATTGC